TTTTTTTTTTTTTTCTTTTTAGGGATGTTGTCACTGTTCCTCTGCTATATGGCAAATGTTATATGCATTCATCATTCGCCATCAATGTACTTTTCTGTTCTCCTGTGTTAGGCCTTCAGTTTGGAGACACAAAATACAAATGCTGCCACTATCAATCTGATTGGCTGGTGGCTAAACAAGACAAATTCTTCAGTGTTGATTCCAGGAGAAATGCCTTCCTTGTCTTGAAGAATCCCCTTCTTTTTTTTTTTTTTTTTTTTCCCCAATTCCATTTCACTCTCTGTTTTCCTCACTTGGGCTTGGTGCCACTTCAGACACAGAATCACAGGGTTGGAAGGGACCTCAAGGATCATGAATCTCCAACCCCCCTGCCACAGGCAGGGCCACCAATCTTCACCTTTAATACCAGACCAGGCTGCCCAAGGCCCCATCCAATCTGGCCTTGAACACCTCCAGGGATGGGCATCCATAGCCTCTGTGGGCAGCTGTTCCAGTACCTCACCTTTTTCTCTGTAAAGAATTTCCCTCAGACACCAGACTGGGCACTCCAGAGGACCATCCATCTCGTCATCTCAGAGCCATGCCCCTTTCCTTATTCAGTTCCATTCATTATGACATTAAGCAACACTTTCTACTTGCTTCTTCCTCCTTTTACAAACATAATTCATTAACGTTATGGTAAATATGTACAAAGCCTAATCATGAACATTCAAAGTTCATCCCACACACTATGGGTGCATCTCAGCCAGGCTGTTACATAGTCTGTCAGACAGCTTCAGCAAGATATCTGGTCCTTTTGGTTGCAGCCTCCTTGCCCACCCACTCTTGAGTCATTGCCACAACACATTGCCTGTGTTGTGTCCCTCACCCCCCTCACCATCTCCTTTTATCTCAATGGGATATTGCCTGACTTGGGCTTCGTTTGACACCTCTGCTTCCCCTATTTCCCAGAAGGATCTGCTCTGGCATCCCTCTTCCCGAGCAGCTAATGCTGGTATTTCAGTAGGGGAGGTCAGGTCAATACTTTAGATAAATAAGTAATAGTTCCAACCCCACAGCTCTCCTCTGTTTTCCTCTCCTAGGTGCCCTTGAGGATACAGCTAGTCCAGAGCTTATGGCACTGCTCCAACATGATTGGCAGGTCATGTGAAAGAGCACACATCTTAGAAAACTGTAATATAGTCATTTCAGGACTTGAATGCGGATGACTATCCAGATCGCAACCTAACAGTGGGGGTTGCAGTTCTAGGTGGCTTTTTTTGTGTAGGCCTACACCAGGAGCAGCAAATAAAATGCTCTGACATATTTTTCCTTGCTATTATTTTCAATTTATGACCTCAACTTTATCATCCATCTGAATGCATGTCTGAAGATCTCAGGAAAAGAAAATAATCTAAAAGATCACTTAAGCCTTTCTTGAAATAAAGAGCAAGCTCTGTCATATACATCCTGTAAGGTGAGGAGAGTGAAATTCTTTGTTTCCTCCTTTGTTGCAGAAGGATAAAGTATATGAAACTCTAATTCTCCCCCAGTTTATTCACAGCAAGCTTTGCCTGACTTGGTAAGCCAGACCCTCCAAGGGTTTCAGTGAGATTGCAGCTGGTACCATGCTGGGGTAACTCATTGCAATCTGACAGCTCTTGACCACATGAATGAGGGGGGCAAGGACCGGTTCTGTTTGGCTACACGTGGGAGTGCTCTGAATGGGCACAGATTATCCCACAGAATAAGTTTAGTAGTGAGGAGGGTTTGCAGAAAGGTAACAGCTCAGCTCAGTAGGAACAAATCTGCAGACGTACATTTGTGTTGGAGTGGGAAACTGTCACTGTGCAGGAGCCACAACAAGCTCTAGAAAGCAAGCCTCAAGGTGAATCCTTGGTAAAACGTTCACTTCTCTGCAGTGTTTAGAGGAAAGAGGAGTTCAAATGTTGTACCAGGCTCATCTAGAGGCTGTAGGGCTGTGACCTTTCTCTGTGCCCTTCCAGACCCCCCCACCCCATAGCACTGTATGGGGGGCCTGCCTGCACCCCTCTGCCTCCTTGCTAGTGAGGCTCTGCCTTCGGCCCCATTTCCACAGCACGTTACTCATCATCAGCCTGCCCCAGGCACTGCCTCGCTCCCCCACCGCGCCACCATTAACTTTGCCTTCAACCTCTGCTGCATCATTGCCTTCTCCTGAGGGTTCCCTATTTATATAGAGGGGAAAATGCAGTTGCTGGGACTAGAAATATTTTGTTACCTTTTTCTACTTAAGTACCAGGCATTTTTATCTGTGCTCTCTGGAGACTTATGCTACGGTGGGACTGATTTTATCCACTTACTCAATGCACTTTAGTTCAATAATGATTACAGAACTTCTACATAATATATTAGGCATAGTTGATTTCCCAGGGTTTGTAGCCCTCCATCTCCCTAAGCGTTTAAAAAGGAATCTCTCTGTGATAGGTATGTTATGAATTATACACTCCTCAACAGTCATGTTGTAAAAATAATAGCAGCAGTGGGCTGGGAAGGAAGAAGTGGCAACCATTCAGCTGAAAAATGCCAAAGCTTGCAGATAATACAACCCAACACCAGTGAATTGCTCTGTTCATTTTGTCACTGTTCATCGCCTAAAAGTGGTGCTTTCTGGCTGAGGAATTAGGCAGCTCAGGCTGGATTTGCAAACCCTCCCTCTGTTCCATTACCCAGATGGAGTGGTTAGCAGTTCAGTGGCTGTTGCAGGACTGGGTTGAACTGATCTCTTCCTTCTCACTACTTTTTTTTTTTTTCTTTTTTTTTCTTTGAACGTGTCTTAATCTAAGCTGAGTTCTTCAGCTCTGTGGATTCAGCAGCCCTGAGCTGGTTCTCTCAGCCCTGTGGTGCTGAATGTGATTGCTGAAGACTTGCACAATGCTTCTTTGCTTTGACAGCAAAAGGAGTAGCGACATCAGTGGTTACAGTCCCCTTCATCTGATAATAGGCTGTGAGCCTCCAAGCCCTGAAACCTGTTCCTAAGCTTTTTCTCAGCCTGAGGGGCTTTCTATTCCCTTTTCCACCTCCACAAAGATAAGGCTTCTCCATCCCAGACTTTGGACATAAATGCCATCCTAGATGTCCAACTGCCTGTGCTGTCCTCCACCCACCTGCCCTGCCCCTTCTGCTCAGCACTCACGTTGGTGCCAGAGGACATCTGGTTCCTGTACACGGGGACTGAGACCACCTCATTCAAAACCCATTCTTTTGCCCCAGCAAGTTTCCTGTTCTGGTCAAACCGCCTTGAACTACATACCTTGCTCATCTCATCCTCATCAGCCTTCCTGTTAGATGATGAATGCGCTCTGTTTCTGCTTTTTAAACACAAATCCTCATTTTGGTCAACTTTCCAACAGTCTCTTAATTTCAGCATTCATTGGCTTTTGACAGTGGGGTCTGTGGCTCCATTGCTGCAGTGCCCAGATCCACCTCTTGTGCAATGGGGGGTGCTGCACAACACGGGCAGCTCCTTCAGGGTGTGGGGGCAGCCAGGACGTGGCTGCCTCTCCTCAGGCTCCAACTGATGCTGCAGCTCCACATCCACTGACTGACATCAGCAAATAGCCAGGCGAGAGCAGCTACCAGATAACAGCTGTTTCAACAGTTTTAATCACAAGGAGAGCTGTAAGATAAATAAATAAATAAAGCCGATGAAGTGACAAAACAAATGGCCCTGGTACCAGAGACAGATTTGAAGCTTCTGGCTGCCTTCGTGCTCTCACTCCCCGCAAATAATTAATCTATCACTTAGCAGCACTGGGGCTCTCCAGAAGGAGCTGGGAGCAGTGTCTGAAGGTGAACGTCAGCTCCCCAGAGAGACCTGGAGGATGGGGACATGGCTGCCTGCCACCACAGCCTGCAGGTGAAGTGGGATCACGAGGGGATGGATGGATGGATGTCAACCTGCACGTGCTGCCAGTGCGCCGTGCTGCATTCCGCCCTCACAAATCACTGTTATGCCCTTTCTGCTTTAAACACTATGGATCAGCTATAACAACACTTGATATTTATTTTATTTCAGCTATCACTCTGATTTGTCAGGTGTATTTTTTATGCACAGCAGGTGTACCCTAATGGGGTTAGGGAATAAACAGAAAATTGATGGGCTTACACACCCATTAGCTAATGGATTACTAAGCAAAAGGGACTCTGTTTAACCCCACTGCACTTAGCCCACTGTTAGGAAGTATGTTAAAGACTATACACTAACACTCAAATGTCTCTTTGTGGACCCAGGGGAAGAGAGCTCAAACTTTAATGCATCTCTTTTGATAGACAGGTGAATGAATGTGGCTATCATTATGCAATCGTGCATCCCTGCAACTATTTATCAGCAGTGCGGAGTGCCCCAGGAACCTCTGCATGCCCCTGGCCAGCCCCACTGTGAGCCCATCCCTGTGGCTTTGTGTCTGTAGGGAAGGGCTGAGCAGGAGGATATGGGCTTTTTCCATCCCAACAGATGCAGCACAACACAACATCTTTGTGCCCCAGCACAGCACACCTGTAAGGAATGAGCCCTCCTGTGCAAAGGCCACGTGCCAGCACAGGCTTTAATCAGTTATTTTAAGATAGATGCGGCTTGTTAGCATCAGAACAATGCAATTATTTTTCCTCCTCCCCTCTCTCCAAATCCCAGGATTTTATTGGCCTATTAATGGATTGATTTTTTTGTTGGTAGAAACAAGGAAAGATTCCAACTCACTGGTCATGTTATCCTACAGCTATCAAGCGGAATATATAAGTGAGATAATAAAACCCAAACCATATTCATGAAGGTTACATTTTCTAAACCCTTTTGCGTTCTGGATCATAGTTTATGTTCCCTTTCAACCAGAAATACACAGTTCAGCACTGTACATGACAGCTGAAAAAGGTCTGTTATATTAAAGGTTAACTTTGCAATCTTTCACCATCTTTTTCTCATGGAAACAAGTCACACTGCGTCTCACTGTCCACCTTCTAACATAGGTGTGTAATCAAAAGCCAATTCAAAAGGAGCCTTCTGTAAATATCAGCTTGATCCAGGCATATGTATGCTTTCCTCAGAGCACCACAGAGTCCTGCTGATTTCAGTGGGATGGCGCCTGTTTGAAGAAAAATAGATGCATGTGTGCAGGAGACATGAAGGTCGAAGAATAAAAAATCAGGAGAGAACATAATTTTGTGTTGCTTTTCACTAAGCAGAGACTCGAAAACTCACAGCCAGAGGGAAGCCGAGGTCCTTTTGGTGACTTCTGTCCCCTGTCCCCTGCCCTGGAATGCTTTTGGTGCCCCCTCCATAGAGGGTATGGGGCTGTTAGGGTCCATGTGGAGCTCTGAGGGATTATGGGGTGGTGAATGGGAGAGGGGCATGCCACAGGTCATGGCTGTGTCTTACTGCAAAGCGGGACTCTTCCTGGAGCTGTGGGAAAAGAGTGCTTCAGGCTCTTGTATTACAGCAGCTGTGGTGTCCAGTAGGCTTCAGCCCACACCTCCTGCCTGAAGTGAACTTCCTGCAAATTCTGTGTTCCTAAGAAATGTGGAAAATGTGACCATTTTGCAGTCAGGAAGCTCTCACCAAATCATTACTCTCTTGCTTAACTCCTTGAACGCAGAGACTTACGGAGCTCTTCTTAATCTTCATAAAGGAAATGAAGAGCAGAACACAGCTGCTGGAGGTAAGAGGAACTGCCAAAACCACCACGAATACTTGAGATGCCTTAGAAAATGCCACAGGTACATTGGCAATAACAAGTCATCAGGGCAGCCCAGGCCTTGCCTTACTGGAGGGAGAAGTGGTCAAATGGACATCAATGCCCACTGAAGGTTGAGTGTAAAATGAAGTTTTAATAGTATGGTGTGGTTTTTATTGTTGCATAGATACAATTTTATCTCTAGGTTTAGTCTTTGGATTGGAGGTGATTTTATTTATGCTGGAATTCATCTGCATCAGACTATAAAGCTGAAGCAGCGCACCAACAAGCTCATTAATTACCAAGCAATTATTTTGCTCAACTTCTAGACCAAGGGGATACCCAAAAATACCCACATCCCTTTCATTCTGATTTCTTGTTTTCCCTCCCATGCCACAGCTGAGGTTATTTTACAGCAGCTGTCAGTCATAGCAGTAACAACTTCCACAGCAGCAGCTTCCATTTGGCAAGCTCACTGCACAGAAAGGGCTGTGATGGAGTGAAAGGGGTTTCTTTCTCTTTCTTAATATCATCTTCCCCTAGGATAGACTACCTTGCCCTCTCCAGCAGAACACGCTCAGATCATACTGCAGAGTTTCTGACTGCTGCTTTTAAAAAGGTATATCTGTTTGTTTCTATCAACACATTACAGCTCCTCTGGCATGCTGTCTTTGCAGCTCTAATAGAGACACTTCACATGTAATAGGGTCACACAGTGATCCTCACGTTCGATTCCATTCCTATCACCATGTTAAATTGAAACAATGTGTGTGCATCAGGTTTCTGCAGTGCAGGGAAGCTGCAGCATCTCCAAGTTTTGTGATGCGATGAACCTAATGATTTGGATTTTATTTTCTTGGTACCACATTCAGCTGGCAAACTCATGGAAATACACCTTACCTCATTTCCTCCCTGTCTCCGCACCTCTCAGGAGCTTTCACCAACAGATCTACTTTCATGCTGGAAAAAAAAAAAAAAAAGTAATTCTATCAGTAATTTATGGAAATTAGAAAACTGATTAGCATAAAGCTTCTACTTGTGATAGTGGGGTTACAGAAGTGGGTTGATAGGTAAAAATGATCTCCTCAGTGATAATTAACTTTGATCTCTTAAATAACTGTTAACTTTCATAAAGAAGGAGAGTACAAATGACATTTGCATCATGGCAACTGTAAAAGGCAGAACATAACTTTCGTTGGAGATAACACGATAAGCTCTGTTCTCAAAGAAAATACACTCATTTCAAAGGAAAATGACACGGGTTGTCAAGGACTGCTGGGTTTGTTCTCACATCCCGTGCCAACCCAAGAGCTCTGAGATGAGGCAGTGCATACACTTGTGCAAGCAGCCCTGTGCACATCAGTGTTACACTGACAATACAGGCCCTGCTTAGCACTAGGAGTCTGCTCACCCAAGGACTTCCAAATACTCTACAAATGTTAATTTGTTCTGACTGCAAGCCAGGTAAATATTAGCCTTATTGCAATGCTATTGGGAAATGGAGGACATGGCGGGTAAGAGACTCACTCAAGACCATGAGATAACAGCTTGGATGCCAACCTTCTGGTTCCAGGTGCAGATGTGGCCTCCCATCAACGTGCATGCCTTTGGACACTGGAGATTTCCTCTCCTTGCTTCGATTACAGTTTCACATATTTTCTCCATCAATATTTATTTCTGACCAATTTCACAGTGCCAGTTTGGGGTCAGACAGCGTTACCATCCATTTGACAAACTGTAAATGGAGGCAAAGAGGGGAAAGAATCTGAAGAGCCCAATGGATGTACATGTCCAGTTTGAGAAACCAAGGGACAGAAGACCCTCCCGAACTGCAATTGCTCATTTAAACTGGGAGATTAGCAGTTGTACATTGTTTTTGGGCTAAAATCCCAAATCTGCCAGCAAAACTGAAGCAGTAAAATCCCAGTTGAACTGAATTTATGGGTTAATGAAAAATTTTGCAGCCCAGAATAGCAGACGTTGGTTGTCAGTCCATGGATGCCAGCACAGGTTGCTGGGGTGAGATAAAGCAAAACAGAAGTTCTGTATGAAGCAAAATGTACATCAAGAACCACACACACTCATGAGATAGGATGGATAATTTAAGAAGTAAAATTAAAACAGTATCTTAATAAATAAATCCTCAAAGCTGTGCAGCCTCCCAATTTTTCAAGTCATGGAAACCATCTCAGAGCCCCTCTCTCACTGAAAGCTCCCAGCACACTGGGTTGTTGCAAAGAAACTACTGCAACATCTCAATATCCTTCTTCAGGAGTTCCTCCAGACACTGGCCACTCTCTGAATCATTTTATCCTGTCATCTCTCTTCCTTTGATATGCATGAAGTTAAAGGGAAATGGCAGTCTCCTAATTTCTATTTCCACCCAATGTCACGGGAGAGAGGAAGGGGTGGAAAAAAAAAAAAAAAAAAAAAAAAAAAATTCACTTTTTAATGTGGCTTTTAAAATAGAAAAGCAAAAAAAAAAATTTTTTTTTTTTTTTTACAGCACTTAATAGGCCTCCCTTGCAATTTAAAAACTGATTTTCAGGAGCTCATATATTCAAATCTCCAAAGTCTATTTGAAGGCACATCTGAAGGTGCACCCTGCAACCTGTGTGTAGCAAACTCTTTTGAATCTTGTCCTTGAAACAAAAATTAGTGCCCCATGGGAGCTCAGCAGTGTAGACAACCACTAACTGCAGGATGACTGAAAGCAGGGCTGAGAGTCCTTGCAGCTGGGAGGGAGAAGGGGATGAGAGAGCGGGGGAAGATGAGAAAAGCCTTCAGGAGCCATTTGGGAGACAGTCACTGGGAAGAAGAAAGAAAGACATGCACTAAAAACAACAGAAACACAGGTGGAAATGGCCTACTGGGAAATCAGGCTGTCAACAAACAAAAGCCGAAGGCCAGAAAGCAGTTTCAGTAGCAGCCCCTGCTAACAGGGCTTCAGTGTTCAGTAAATAAATTAGCAGCAGCTTTGACTGTTTGGAAATTAGTAGCGACATGATGAAAGAAGCAAATGACTTGCTTTTATCTGGAGTGGAAGCACTAAACTTCCAAAGATATCCTTGCCTGTATCAGGAGAAGCAGAGATGCTTATATCAGCTCAGACTTGAACAACAGTAACAACTGAAAAGTTTCATTTCATTTACCAGAGGCTCAGAACTTCGTTTATACCTAATGAGACCTCTGTCCCTCTGGGCTGCTTCTGACAGCAGCTCTTCCTCAAATAGTTTATCACTCTGGAGGTAAAAATAACACAGGTTAGTCAGGTGGACAGACAGACAGATGGATACATGGCTATCTGAGGAAAGAAGTAGAGTTGGGACATCAGATCAACCCTTCAATTACTGCAAACTGGGAGAACTCCTTTGGGAGAAACTCCCTTGATTTACATCCGTTGAGAATCTGATCCTGTTTAATTAAATGGAAACTAAATGAGAGGCTGAATAGTAAACACTTCAGCATGTGCTTAAACATTCAGCATGTGCCAAAGTCATATTGATTCAATTGAGATCTAATTTGCTTAAGCAGCCCTCTCCAGTACAGGTTCCTCCAGAACCAGAGCTTCCAATAGCTGTTGAAACTGGATGTTTATTGTGTCAGATGTATTAAGAAGAGGCTCTTTTCCCAGCTCCTCATAGCCTGGGAAGACAGTTCATAAGGGAGCAACTGTGCAGCTTCCAGAGTGGACAAATATTTACATTAGCTGTGCTAATTGCACTTGGTATTGCAACAGATCCGGGAGGCCAACGTGCACTAACAGAGGAAAGCAGGGACATCATGGAGAGTTCTTTCATCCACATAAAACTTGAAATATGAACTTGGTCCCAAGCATGGACCGCACTATCTTTGAGAAGCATCAATGGCCTGTGCTGTATCTGCTGCCCATCAATTTGGAGGCTGGAACAAGTACATGATAATGCCATGAAATGACAGATCTAAAAAGATCACAAGTCCAGATCTGCTAAAACTGCTAGGGTATCGAAGCTGCCCTTTTAGGCAGCGTTAGTTTTGTATCCCATGAAATACCTGGCTGCTCAGAGATCCAGCTGTACTGCGAGCATTCTCATCCTGTCTCGCCTGGCAGACTTCGAGCAAAGTGTCACAACTTCTCATTCACATGGCAATGTCAGTGAGGCAGGACCTCCTCCCACTCTGCCTGGCTTGTGCTGTTCATTCTTACCACCACAAGAAGTAAATTTGCTTGCATGCTTCTAAACAAAATGGTCAGTAAGTAGTGGCATCCCTCAGGGATCAATACTGGGACCAATACTGCTTAATGTCTTCATTAACAAGCTGATGATGGGATGGACTGCACTCTCAGCAAGTCTGCAGACACACAGATAGCAGGAAGAGTGGTCGATAGGCCAGATGGCAGGGCTACAATTCAGGAGGACTTGGGCTGGCTGGCAGAAAACTCATGAAGTTCAGGAAAACCAAATGCAAAGCCTGATATTTTGCTATCCGTGATGAAATATCAACAATGCAAACCACAGGCCAGCTCTCAAGGAAGCAGCAAAGAACAACCACCACACTCTGAGCTATATTAGCAAGAAAACAGCCAGCAGGTCCAGGAAAGTGCTATTTAATCAGTCCCCACAAGTGGAGGCACTCAAAATGTGACCAGATCCAAGCCTAGACAACCTGATCTAATAGGAGATGCTTCAAGTAGGGGCTGGGACCAGGTGACTTCTGTAGTCCCTTGCAATCTAAATTATCCCACTATTTTATGGAAAAGAAGCCCAACACAAATGGTGAAGATTGTGTGGAAGCATGCAGTAGACTGTACAGGCCTGAATGAAAGCTCAGGCTCAATTATACTGAGTATTTAATTAATGAAGGCAGACATAACATAGTTAGATTTTTAGTAAATTGTTAGTTTAGTGCTACACATGAACTCAATAGGAAGGCTGGAGTTGCATAGGCTGCATAATAACACAATAGGGGAGATAAAAATCTATCCAACAGCCAGAAACCAGTGAGTTATCATCAATGGTTTTATGTCAAAAGAGAGAAAGTATCAATTGGTCTCCCACAGGGATTGATACTGGAGCCAGCATTAATCGATATACTCATTAACAGCCTAGCGAAGAATGTAAATTCAACAACCACTGGATCTGGAGAAGATTCAAAGGAACGGTGGGGATGTGGCAATGGAAGGAGGTGACATGTTAGAACTGTGGTCAAGCCACAATATGAATGGGCAACATTTCATATTTTGTATATTCAGAGAAAAAAATTGCATAAGATAAATGTAAAATAGAGTGGAGGCAGTGCCTGCAGCCACCCCTTCCAAGAAAGCCACAGGTTAGCAAAACGTTCGTTTACAGCACCCCATAAGGCAGAGTGAATTCCTGATCCATTAGAAACCCTGCAAGACAACGCAGTAAATTGCCCCTTAACACCATGTCAGCTCTGAAATACCACAGCCAAATGTTACAAGATATTGAGTAAGAAAGAGGATTAGGAGAGAATCACTAAAATTAGGCAAAGAATGAATTCAAATCTAGCCTACGTACTTCACAGTTTAATAAAAGAAAATAAAATGTTTACGTGGCAGCTGAAAAGTGCACTAAAAATAATAGTGGGAAAGGATTTGACTTCAGGGTTGATAGGGTTTTGTATGAAAGATAATACATGTAATATCTGGTTTTTATTTCCCCATGTTTTGCTACAATTCCAATCTCCATCCTGTGATTTTGATGTATGCATACACATATTTTAAAATTTGTTCAAAGACCACATTGCTTGGTGGAGGTGTGTGTGAGCTGACCCATAGATATTAAGCCCAAACAAATTGCCATATCCATATAATATTTCTTCTGTATCCCATAAATCAGAGCCTTTCCCTGCTTGGATCTCTTAATTTTGTGGGTTTTTGTTGTTGTTTGGAGAATATAGTAAAAATTATTCTGGATTTCATCCCATATCTATTGGGGATTGCATGCCATTCTTTG